GGCCAATTGGTGACATCTTTCTGCAAAGTTTCAGAGGAGCAGCCCTCTTCGTCTGTATTCGCAAAAAGAACAGGAGGACGTGTGGCACCTTAGTGACTAACAGATTTATTTGAGCAGGAGCTTTTGTGAGCTACAGCCCACTTCAGCGGATGCAACTGTAGCTCACGAAAGCTGATGCTCAAATAAATTGGTTAGTCTCTAAGGTGCCACAAGTCCTCCTGTTCTTTTAGCTTCTGCAAAGTGGCCTGTGGTTTTTGGCGCGGGTGTGGGTGGGGCGGGGGGAGGCAATTCAGGACACTGAGGGGCTGATCTACACGGAGGCTGGGCTACCACACCAACCCGCTCGCTAGCAAAGAGCTCGAGGGCTGAACGGGCCTAGGATCTTAATCCCTTCTCCCAAATTGGAGAAAAGATGGTCGAGCCTTCTCCTCCCCCTGCCTTGGGGCCGGATGGGAGCTGGGGCCCCCTGGACAGGAAAGGCCCTGTGCCCCATTCCCTGGAGCCAGCCTGGGACTAGGAGAGACACCACACCCTTCCCAGAGCCAGGGAGAGAACCCAGGAGTCCTGGCTCCCAGACCCCTTTGCTCTAACCATTGAGACCCCCAAGCAAGCAGGGAGAGGGATACAGGCTAGGGGGCCCATCGCTCTGACTGATGTAGATTCTGGCTATTCTGACTGATGCAGATTTTGCAGCAGATGAGAGAGCAAAGGTGTGAGGGCCTCAGGGAAAGATGAGCCATCGCTGGCTTCCTGTGGCTGCAGCCCCTGGCTCAGTGCCCCATTCAGGGCTTGGGGGAGCTGGGCACCAGGGCTTTGGTGGCGGCACTGAGGGGCCCCTCTACTGCCCCCATCATCGCATCTGCTCTCACTGTCCTCCTCCTCGGTGAGTATCAGAGACAACCAGGGTGTGTACCCATGGAGGGATGGGATATGAGACCAGGGCGTGAGCCCATGGAGGGTGTCATGGACTCACAGGATTTGCACTGTTTCTCAGGTCCCCCTTCAGTGCGACAGCCCTTCTCGGGGGTCCACTCTCTCTCGGGAGTTAGGCCCCTCCACCTCCTGGAACCGGACCTCTCCGAGCCTTAGCACGCCTATCTCTGCCCTGGGCCCCCGCAGGGAGTCCACTCGCTCTGGACCCCTGGGCCCCCACGCCCAGAGGGAATAATGCCCCCCTGATCTCTAGCCCGGAGCGACTCTCAGCCAGCTTAACACAGGAGGGTTTATTGAGCATCTGAACCCAGCACAGGAAACTCTCCGGGCTTCAGGCCTGACCTCCCTCAGCACAGCACATCCCAGTCTCCCCTGCATCCAGGTGGGCTCTGTGACAAAGCGGGACTGTTGTTAATGTTTCCTCTGAATAGTGTGGGGGTGCCTCAGTTTCCCCTAGGCAGTTCTTAAGTATCTAGGTGGTGGGGTAAGGGTGTATGATCTATGATCGTTGCAGAGCCCTAGAGGGCAGGTGTGTGCAGGGATCTGGACACAGAGAAGGGCCAACACCCTGTTTCCTGGCAACTGAGGGCCTGGGCCCTTCCCCCCTGCCAGGTGAGAGCTAAAGGGTTGGAGAACAAAGGAATCAGGTGACCTCCTGGCCCAGGAAAGGGACAAAGCCCAGAGGATGGGGGGCTGGAGGGAGTTTCAGTTTGGGGCTGGCTGGGACATGGAGTGAAGTGCAGACGGGGTTGTCTGGCTCACTGCCCCCCAAAATGGACCCGGCTGAGGGGTCCTGTTCTCTGCACCTACAAGCTCTGTGTTAGACCATGTTCCTGTTGTCTAATAAACCTTCTGTTTTACTGGCTGGCTGAGAGTCACGTCTGACTGCGGAGTTGGGGGGCAGGACTCTCTGGCTTCCCCAGGATCCCACCTGGGCGGACTCGCTGGGAGAAGCGCACGGAGGGGCAGAGGAGGCTGAATGCTCCGAGGTCAGACCCAGGAAGGTGGAGCCGGGTGAGCTGTGTGTCCTGCAGACAGGCTGCTCCCAGAGAGGAGACTTCCCCAGAGTCCTGCCTGGCTTCATGGGGAGCAGATCCAGAGCATCGCCCGGGGACTCCGTGACAGTTGGGTTGTTTTCCACCCCGCTGTGTCTTTCGTCCTCTCCTAGCTCACTCTCCTGGCTTTCCATCGGGTGCTGCAGTCAGGTGCGTGGCACCCACCCCACCTGGCCTGCCTAAGGAGAAGGGACCCAATGCGGGGCCGGCCCTGGCCAGATTGTAACCACCCAGGGTCCGAGCAGCAGGCGTCGGGGGGTCGCCTTGCAGCCAACGCAACCGCTGATCCAGCCCCCGACACCATCCCCAGAGGCCGTATTTCACCCCCGTTTCCATCCTGTCTCTCCCCCACCTTCCGTCTGTCTGTTCGCTAGGAACAGGGTCAGCAACCTCCGTACACAGATTGGACTCCATCCCAGCCTGGGACCACCCTTCCCCAGGTCAAAGCCTTTGTCCTCCAGATGTTCCTCCAGGTGTTGAAGTTGTGGGGAAGAGAAGCCCGAGGTTTATGTCCCTTCCCCTCTTTTATATTTTCTTCCAGCTTGCTGGAAAGATCTTTGCTCTGACCGGGGGATTAGGCAGTCCCCAGTGGTCAAGCAATCTCCATTGTACCCAGTCTCTGGGATAGTGGATTCTTTCCTTGAGGGGTGTTCATGAGCCATGAACGGTGTCTGGTTGGTCCTCTGTTGCAATTGAAAGGGTGGCTGTGGGAGTCTCTCAACCTCACAGATGCGGGACCAGGGGGTCTCAGAACTGAGAGGGGGGAGGGGACATGCCGATGCGGCTGCTTGTGTTATTTTGCATCCCGTTAATCTCCAGATTTGTAATAAACACAGAACCACAAACCAGCCTGTGACGTTCCCCTGGTGTTGTCCGGACTGGTGATCTGCTCGGTCACTCCAGTCCTCGGCTCCGGGACCCAGCCTCACCCTGCCCCGCTGTGAGACCCCCACTCCCGGGCTGTTCCCACACAGCCCCTGGCGTGTGAGCTGCTCCCAGCCACGGGAGCGAGCGCTTTGGGCAGCCGCTGCCTGGACTGTGCAACCGAAGGACGCCAGCCGATATCTCCAGCCCCAGACACGCCCAGAGGAACCTCCATCTTGGAGTGCCCAGCTACGCCCGCTGGACGCCGCAAGCATCTATGAGTGTCAGTGGGGCTCCCGTGGCTCCGGCCTTGGTGACCCAACACGCGCTGGGTGTTACTAGCCCCCCCGTCCTCCTCCCTTCCCCGGGGTCTCCCCTCACCTGCCATGGGGGAGCCTTCAGCCTCCGCGCGCTCACGCTCCACGGTGGGGCTGCTGCTGGCCCCTCGGGAGCTCCTGCTGGTGCTGCAGCCGGGGCCGCCCATCTCCTGCTCAGGGCAGGCTGGGGGCTCTCCAGTGGCCAGGCAGGGGGACGGCCCCTGGTGGGCCCTGGGGCTGGGCTCCTGGCTCCTCTGCTTCCTGGAGAGGACGCCCCAGAGCCGCCATGCCCGGCTCCTGCCCTGTCCTGGGTCCCTCCCGCACACCTGCCCCCGGGCCACCTCCATGCTGGCCCAGAAGGTGCCTCAGGGCCTGCTCTGGGAGCTGGTGTCTCCTCCTGCAGACCACCAGGCACTTCCACCTCTTGGCCAGGCCAGAGCCTGCGTCCCCCCGAGCGGGGACAGAGGGGCCGCTCTCCTCCTGGGGCAGCCGGCAGCGGCTTCCCACGGGCCCTGGAGCCACCTTCACGGCCTCCGTCTGCAGCATCTGCCTGAGCTTCTCCACCCTGGGACTCAGCGGGGAGCAGCCATGAGTCTGGGGTCAAGGCAGCCTCTCACTAACAGGCCTCCCTGCTCCCCCGATCTCCCCTCCGCTGGGGCAACTCCCCCTCACCGCACGCCCCACCCTGGGGCACAGGGACTGCAATCTACCCCACGGGCAGGAGCTCCCAGGACAGGCTGCTCCCAACGTTCCCATCAACACTGAAGCACTGGGACACCGGGGGAGTCTCATCCTTTCAGAGCAGTGGGGTTTGCAGTGGGTTTGGACCAGCAGCTCCCCCGTCCGCCCCAGGCCACACTCCCTGCCAGGCTAGAGAAAGAACAGAACCCAGGAAGGAGTCTGAGCTTGTCCTGGGAACCCCCAGCTAAAGTTCCCAAGGTCCCAATCACGAGTCCCCCCAGTTCTCATCGATTTCAATGACTGGGGTTTCTGGGTGTTCAGCATCTGGCAGGGTCTGGCTCCCCCAGAGACTCAGCCCTGGAAACAGTCTCCTACAAGGGGAGGCTGGGAGCCCCATGGCTGGGACATTTCCCCCACACTGGAGATGGCTCTGGAGAAAACCCGGCAGGAAACGCGCTGCCCTGGCCCAGAGCGAAGGGCTGCAGGGGGCTGTGTTAGCAAATCTAGTCTCCTCGGGAGGAGATTCCCCCCATTTCAGCTCCTCCCCAGGCAGAACAGGGATATGCTACATGCCACTCACTTGCTTGAGATGGCGTGGAGCTGGGGGGCAGATGCTCAGAGTTGGTCCATCCCAGGCCCTCTTCCTCGCTTTCCCGCAGCGATGTGAGCTGGGAAAGGGGCTGCACTGGGGGTGCAAGGCCCTGCCAACAGGGCCGGGTGCAGAAACCGGGAGACGGACCGTGGCTGTGAAAACAATACGATGTTTTATTGCCAAGGGATGGAGAAACTTTACCTACATGGGTCACCAGCTGGGCTTGAACCCAGAATGAAAAGGGGATGGAATTTTCATGGCAATCGTGGTCAGTGGCAGATTGAAGACCAGAGCCCGTGCTCTCCTGGCTCCCAGCCTGGTGCACCTTCCCCAAGGCTGCAGGGTGCGTTGAGGGTGACCTGTCCCCACTCCCCACAGAGACAGAGACAAGCTGGGAGCTGCATGATGCTTGGCCAGGCTGGGTTTCCTGGGTTTTGCAAAGCCCCCTGCTTACTTTGACCGCAGTAGATTTCACGTGCAGATTAGAGACAACGTGTGATGGACGCAGGAAGAGACGAGACATCGTCAACTTCCTGTAGCTGGAGCCACCAGCCGAGTTTCTTATTGGGGCTTGGTGGAACTGGGCACTGGGGTGTTGGAGACAGGGCTGAGGGGCCCCTTGCTACCCCATCATGGCATCTGCTCCCATCATCCTCTACCTCTGTGAGTACCAGAGATAACCAGGGCGTGTATCCATGTGGGTTGCTGGGGGGTATCTGAGACCAGGGCATGTGTCCGAAGGGAGTGGGGAGCGCAAGTCTGAGACCAGGGCATGTGCCCATGGTGGGGGGAATCTGAGACCAGGGCTTGTGCCCATTGGGCGAGGGGAACTGAGTCACTCTGGCTTCTGGTCCCTAACGGGCCCTCTCCTTTCCAGGCTGCTGGCTGGCCAGGCAGAGCAAGGTGTTCGGTCGTGAGTATCTGTGGGGCAGGGGAAACTTTAGTGTTCAGGACGGGAAGGGGAAGGGGGGAGAGGAAAAGAGGAGCTGAGCCCTGAACCTTCACCCCCAAAATCAGTTCAACCTCCTTGTGTTTATCCCAGGGGGCTGAGATCAGAACCTGCCCCCACTGTAGTCAGGGGTGACCCCTGATTGACCGGGAGGGGGGGGGGTTAGGGTGACCAGACCTCCCGTTTTTAAAGGGACAGTCCTGTATTTAACCCTCCTGCAGGTGTCCCAAGTTTTTCTTAAAAACAGGCAAATCATCCCGTATTTTCTGTCTCCCCCCCCCACATCAGTATTGGCCAGATCCCTGCTCGCCAGCCGCCTGCCCACCAAGGGTGAGTGGCGGGTCCAGTGGCCGATGATGGGGTGGGTGTGCAAGGCTGGTGGCAGGCTGAAGATGGAGCGTGTGGGGCCGGCCGCTCCCCTGCCGGTCCATCAGCGCAGCCCCCACGGCGTGACGGCTCTCGATCAGCAGGGCCCTGCCCCCCCTGCCCTGAGCTGCGGTGGCTGGTGGCGGTGGGCAGGTGCCAGGCTGAGGCTGTGTTACCTCTGCTGCCCACCCATCAGACCTCGACGTGCTCCCGCTCTCGCTGTCCTCTCCCTGCTTTGCCCCTTCACCCCCCCCGCCCCTGCCCCGCTGCTCCTCCATATCCCCCCGGCGGGGTGCAGCCCAACCCAGCGCTATGGGGAGAACCAGCCCCTGGTCGGCTTGCTCAACTCACCTACAGCCTGGCCGGCAGGCTCCTCCCTGGAGTCCTGGCTCCCAGGCTGCAGGGCCCCATTAAATAGATAGAGGGGTACAGAGGTTTGCTCTAGATTTAGGTCCTCGGGCAGTTTCAGTTGCAGATCCCAGGAATCTCTGGGATCTCGAGAGGTTCCTCTGGCTGGGTTTTCCCCCAGGGGCCCCATCTCTGGGACTGTGGAGCAAGGACGGGGCGCAGTGACTGTGCCGGGGTCTGTCTCACGGCCTTTCTCTTTGTCATTGCAGAGCTCAGCTACTCCAAACCTTCCATCTCCCTGAGTCCCAACGGGGGGGGTCACCCTGGGGGGAGCTGTGACCATCCAGTGTTGGGCTCCATTCCAGAACTTGAGGTTCCTTCTGTTCAAAGATGGAAAGCCGAACACGCGGCAGGACATGGAACCGGCTGGGAATCTGGCCGAGTTTTCCATTCGCAATGTGAGCCGGAGAGATGCAGGGAGCTACAGCTGCTATTATCAACACAAAGGGTACCCGTTCATGTGGTCGCAGCCCAGCGACCCCGTGGAGCTGGTGGTAGCAGGTGAGGGGCCCGGCTCAGTGACCCCGCTCCCAGCCGCACACCCAGCCAGACCCTCGGGGCAGGGGCATGTGCAAGGGGGGAAGCAGGCACAGGGCCCCCCCGAATCAGTGGGGCCAGAGCACAGAACTCCTCCGGGGAGCAGAACCAGCTCCTCTGGCTGCGGGGGGCACACAAAGTGCCCCTCCAAAAGCAGCCACTTTTTTATTCCTGTGCGTGCCCCTGACCAGGGGGTCTCTGTGCCAATGGGACGCTCAGAGCCAGGCTCTGCCCTGAGCCCTGGGCCCAGCAGAGGGGACGCCTGGGTCAGGGGCAGGGACGGAACCACTGGTGGGTTTCCCAGCAAGGGGCAGCAGCAGCTGCTGGAGGTTCAAGGCCGAGGGAGGGGGGATCCCTGCCCCAGGGGGAGCTGCAGAGCAGGGGCTTTTCCCAGGGGGAGGCTCCCCCGGCTGCTCCCGCCCCGGGGGCGCACAGAGGAGTCGGGGCCCAGGGGCTGCCCCGCCCCAGCCTGTGACTGTGTTCCAGGGCTGGCTGGGTGATGCCCACCTGGGCTGGGGGCTGTCGGGTTAAAGCACAGTGGGAGCTGCACACGGTGGCTGCTCAGAAGCGGCCTGGAAACAGCTGCTGTGGGGAGACCCCCAAGGATTCCCGGGCAGCAGCGGAGGTGGGGGCAGCTTGAGCCTGGGGCGGGATTTTTTTGTGGTGGGGAGAGAAAGAAAACAGTGGGGGACAGCGGCTCCTCCCCCTGCCCCCAGCGCTCCTGGGGGAAAGGGCTGGTAGAGTTTGGAGGGAGGCTGCCCAGCGCCGGAGAGAGACACCAGCAGCCAGCGCGGGAGCAACCGGCACCAGAAATGAAGGGACCCAGCGAGCGGGGAGCCAGTGGAAAGGGGCCCGGTGGCCGAGCTGTGTCGTCGAAGGGCGCCCGGCAGAGAGCTGGCAGGGAGAGAGTCCCGTTGAGCAGGGGCAGAGATGGCAGGAACAGCGGGAGGCAGACAGAGGAAAGACAGAGGCAGGAGGGGGAAAGTTAAAGGAAGAACCCGGTCGTGAAACACGAAGAAACGAGTCTCTACGTTACCTAAGCAATAGTTAGAAAACCGCAAGAGAAGTCAGGCACGAATGAAACGTCATGGAAATGAGCTGCGAGCAAAGAGAAACGGGCTGAAGAAAAGAGGAGGAAGTGAGCTGTAGTGAAAGTAAAGCCAATAGTACGGACAAAACGTCCGCCCAGCACCTTCAGGTGCAGCGACAGGAAGGAAACGTAGCGCGGGGGGTTCTGGCCTCGTGCCTCGGACGTTCCAACTCCAGATCCTGCTGCTCCACGAATGGAAATTGTCGCCCATAACGTGGGTTGAAGTCAGCCAATGGTGGCTCCTGTTTAAGCGAGCTCAGCAATCGTTCCCAGTGGGACCCGACACAGCGAACTCTGACTCATTTGGAGGGAGGGCTAGCTCAGTGGTTTGAGCATTGGCCTGCTAAACCCAGGGTTGTGAGTTCAATCCTTGAGGGGGCCATTTAGGGATTCGTGGCATAAATTGAGGATTGGTCCTGCTTTGAGCAGGGGGTTGGACTAGATGACCTCCTGAGGTCCCTTCCAATCCTGATATTCTATGATTCTATGATTTGTGATCATTCCCCACTGAACTGATTTCTCCTTCCCCAGCTGATGGAGATAAAACGCAATTGGCCTCTAGGTCGCCTCGGCCCCTTCTTGCCCTGCCCTAGCCACCCCTCCATGGGCTCCTGGCAGATGGAGCCGCGCCGTTGCCCTGCTGAGGGGTGGGGGCCCCCGGGGCTCTTGTGTCACTAGCCCAGCTCTCTCGGTCTTGGATTTGGGGGAAAAACATCCAGGAGACTCTCTCCCTCGTCACTGGGGCCGGGCTGTGGGGACGGGGTGCAGTGACCGTGCCGGGGTCTGTGTCTCACGGCCTGTCTCCTCCTGCCTGCAGAGCCCAGCTACCCCAAACCCAACATCTCCCTGCACCCCAGTGAGGGGGTTACCCTGGGGGGAGCTGTGACCGTCCGGTGTGAGTGTCGGTGTCGGGGAGCGAGGGTCTTTCTGAATAAATCTGGAGACCCGGACGCACGGCACGCGACAGATTCCGCGGGGGACTTGGTTGAATTTCCCATCCACAATGTGAGCCGGAGAGATGCAGGGAGCTACAGCTGCCAATATAGCACCAAGTGGGGCCCGCCCGTCTGGTCGGAGCCCAGCGACCCCGTGGAGCTGGTGATAGCAGGTGAGGGGCCTGGCTCAGCATCCCCACTCCCAGCCCCACACCCAGCCCGACTGTCAGGGGGTCTAGCCCTGGTGGGATGCTCAGAGCCAGGCTCTGCCCTGGGCCCAGTGGAGGGGACCCCTGGCCGGGGAGTGGGGATGGGTCACTGGGTGTTCTCTAGCCAAGGGAGAGTAGCAGCCACTGGAGATTCAGGACTGAGGGAGGGAGGATCCCTGCCCCCAGGGGAAGCTGAAGAGCAGGGGTCCTTTCACAGGGGGATGCTCACCCAGGCTGCCCCCGCTCTGGGCATGCACAGAGGAGTCGGGGCCCAGGGGCTGTATACTCCTGGGGGCATTCTGCACCAAAAAATTAAAAGTTCTGCAAAACGCTGTATTTCCTGCACCTGTCAGAAGCAGTGCAAAGGCGTGGGGGAGTCAGGGTAACAGAGGAGCTGAGGGAGAGGGAAGGAGTCTAGGAGTGAACCTAGAAGGTGTTGGGTGTGAGTGGGAAAAGGTTTTTTTTTTTTTGGCGAGGGGGATTGTAAGGGATTTGGGAAGCCTCCCCCATGCAGACCCTGGCTGACCCCAAGCCTCTCCCTGCAAACCCCGACCCCCATGGGCCTCTGCAATCTCCTCCCACATCCCCATGTGTCCCTGCAGCCCTCCTCCCCCACCCCCAGACTCAATGCTGAGCCCCAGTCTGTGACCCCCCAGCAGCCCTAGGTGCCCCACTCTGTGGGTAGGTGCTGTGATGAACTTCTACTCCTGGGGGGTTCTGCAGCCCTGGGCAGGCAGAGAACTCCCTTGGCCCCACCCCGAAAATAGATTCTGCCCCAGAAGTGCTGCAGTTCCGTCTCTGCCCAGCAGGGGCCGCTGTGGCATCAGAACAGCCGGCTGCGTTCTGGCACCACAGCAGCCTCTGGTGGAGAAAGGGTGGAACTGCAGCACTGCTTGAGCAGGCTGTATTTTATGCAGGGGAAAAAAAAACCAAAGCGATGCACATCGTACGGTTGCCAACCCTCCAGGATTGGCCTGGAGTTTCCAGGAATTAAAGATTAATATTTAATTAAAGATTGTGTCATGACAGAAAATCTCCAGGAATACATCCAAACAAAATTGGCAACCCTAGCATGTTCACAGATGTGCAGAATTGCCCCAGGAATAACAGACTGTGGATGCAGTGAGGTGTCTGTTAGCCGTGGCGCTGTCCCTGGGGCTGGGCGCTAAGGGCAGGTTACAGACACACGGGGAGGGGTTTGTGTCTCCCCATCCCACTCCTGTTTGTGTGTGAACGCAGAGCTCCCTGCGCCCGGACCCTCCATCTCCGTCAGTCCCAGTGGGTTGATCGCCCTGGGGGGAGACGTCACCATCCGCTGTCAGTGTCGGTGCGAGGTGTCATGGAGTTCCTGGGCGATGCTCTGGATCTGCTCCCCACGAAGCCAGGCAGGACTCTGGGGAAGTCTCCTTTCTGTGAGCA